TCGTGCACGGCTTTTGCTTTGCCCATTCCATGTAGATAACAAGTCTTTTAGAATAGTTATTTCCTGTAGAGATGATTATTTCCTATTAGATGGATCGGAGATCGCTATGGTTAGTGCCTATGCATGATGACTTGATGGGTCGCATGCTGGCACGGCTGGTTGGCACAACGTTGTCAATCGGTTTGGACGAAGACAAGCAGTCTGATGTCTGCCAGAACCGATTCCCAACAAGCGATCCCTGATCCGTCTAATACGAAATAATCATCTCTACAGGAAATAACTATTCTAAAAGACTTGTTAACTACATGGAATGGGCACACTAGTGTTTCACGCTAGAAGAATTCAGCTTTAACGATGCCGGCGCGCAAGAGATATGCCGAAACAAAATGTCCACAATTTTGATGGGGACAACAGGCAGACAGTGTAATTTTAAAACTAAATAAGATCAAAGGGAGTTTAAAATAGGAATGGAGAAACAGGCGCGATACTTGCCCATGGGCGACAACGATGCAAAGACAGGACATTTCATATAAGGAGTATTTAAAGAACATTGCATATTTTCCTAATCTTCTTCTTCAGCTTATCTCTCCCTAGGCTGCTCTTCAAGTTCGAGCTCTGCTTCTTCCTCTTCTGCTTCAACTTCTCTCCAAGTTGGATCAGTCTCTCAAAGACGCTTCTATCCTCAACAGAATCCAGTTTGGGTTTTTCCTTCATTATCATTATCATAATTGCAGCTAAGGTATCAACTAAAACTTGAACAAACTTTCAAATGGTTGATCCACCAACGTTTAAATTGCGGTTTGGAGTTTCGCTTTATTTGTGGCATCGCAACAGATTCCGACTTGTCCAACTCGAGCTCAAGTTGTCCGCTTTTTGGATTGACCGATGGCTGATAGACGGCGCGCCTGCAGGGTTATAGATCTCCCAAAACCGTAGTGGCAAAGCAAAAGCCTTGCACGAAAACTCAAATTTCCCAAACCTTTACTGGGTGTTTGCAATCCAGAAAGGCCGGTACAAAACCCACGTACAGAACTCCCGCAGGATTCAGTATGGGATTTTCATGGCGCTCAGACAGTTTGAGAGTCCAAGCGCACAATTCCATGTTTTCGGATTCCCTGCAAAACCGACTCATAGGAATCCTCCGAATAAACGGACCAAACGGACATTTGTCCGTCTGTCCGATCGGACGTGCCGAACTGCTTCCATTAAGGAGTTCCAATGAATGGTCTCCAAGAGAGCAATTTCCAATGAATGGTCTCCAAGAGAGCAATTTCAACACCATGTTTTATGTGGTGTGCAGCCGGTGATCCTCAAGGACTTAGCGCTAGCGCTCCTGTTTTTCCGCAAAAACATGGAGGCGGCATGTGCCACTAAAGATCACTTCTTCCAGTCGCGACGCCACATGTCCAGGCCCCAGTGCACTTGAAAAACAAGAACTTGCCGCAATCATGTTGTTTGTCGCGTTGCTTTGTTCCTTCATTTTTATCCTCGCATCACAAGGGGTTGAAATGAATAAAACAAAAACACAACAATACAACAGGATGATTGGCGCTTGATATCGGGAGGCCGAGAAAAGTAGGTAGGCATCCGGATCCGCGTCGAGGCAGCGTTCTTGATCTCCCACAAGGCAACAATTCACCTTGCCTTTGAGCTCCATCACTCCCCCACACGACCAACAACAACTGGCCTTGAAATCGCCAAAAGCAATTTCTCCAGTTGCCGCCTCAGGCGAGAAAAACGGAAAGGTGTCCACAGTGCGGCTGATGTTGGAACCAGCGCTGCGACCGCTCCTTCTTTCGTCCAAGCTTCTTGCGTTGAGGAAAGACCGCCTCTGCGAGTCAGTTCCATGGCGACAGCCCATCGCGACGTGCAAGTCCAATGGGAAGAAGAATAACGGTGGGAGCGGTGGAACAACACAACAATCAGCTCACTTAAACGATGCGAAACACTTACCATTCTCCCCACCCTTTTTTCCATGTAGATAATGTTGCAAATCGGTTCTGGCGGACGTCAGACAAGCGACAGGCTTGTCGTCCTCCAAACCAATTGACAACTTTGTGGCCCATCAAGCCATCATTGCCAACCAGCAGTGCCAGCATGCAACCCATCAAGTCGTCATGCATACGCACTAACCATAGCGATCTCCGATCCGTCTAATATGAAATAATCATCTCTACAGGAAATATCTATTCTAAAAGACTTGTTATCTACATGGAATGGGCAAAGCAAAAGTGTTGGGATATGACGAAATATGAGTTTTTACGTTCCAAAAGAAACTATTCAAGTACAAAGTTTTTGACACGTGCGATCGGACTTTGATCGTGCTGTCGGGATTCGACACAAGTCTGCCGGACAATCTGTATCCACACAAAAAGGGAAAGACCCTATACAAGTGGAATATCAATGTTGTGTACGATGCAGTAGGGAATAATACACGATGTCCCAAAGTACTGCATTCAACACAGAATCCTAGTAGAAGTCAAATTGAGTTCTTAACAAGGGATTTTCCAAGGGAAAATCGTTGAACTCACTTTGTGATTGAATCATCAATTCAAGCCAAACATTAATCAAATAGGAACAATTTCACTCAAAGTATACCTAACCCAGGAGAACTATTATCGTGAAAGTGTTGTACAATCGATTACGAATTTAGATTGCAGAGAGTTTGTTCTGAGCGCTAAAGGCACTCATGATAGAGCACATTTTGCTTTATTCTAACATACTCAATGCTCCAAGCACCAAAAGTCTGAAGTATGCGATCCGATCTGGTTTCATCAAGGACTGTCCTATCACTGAAGAAGCGATCAACCATGCCGAAGCAATCTTTGGAACTGACGCATCTACTTTGAAAGGCAAGGTGACAAGACCAACTCCAAAGAAGACACACGATGATTTATTCAGTCCACCAGAGGAATTGTACCAACACAATCGAACTATTACCGTCTGTATTGATCACATGGAGATCGGAGATGCTAAGTTTCTCACCTGCATTGATACCACTGTGCGTTATCGCTCATGTATTCCCATGCAGAAATGAGATATTCCGCCGCTACAATAAGGCAGGCTTTCATGTCAAGACAATCAAGTGTGATCGGGCATTCATTCCTCTGACGGATAATATGCTAGATGATATGGGTATTACTATTGACCCGACTGCAGCTGGAGACCACGAGCCTACAGCTGAGCGAAACAATCAAACGCTGAAAGAAAGAGTCAGAGTAGCTATTGCACGATTACCCTACAAAGTGGTACCAAAGGTGATCACTGAATGTCTTGGACGTCGAGCCGCCGAGCTATTGAATGTCTTTCCCCAGAAAGACAGTATTTCCTCACATTTCAGTCCGCAGCAACTCATTGATAATGTCAATATCAACTACAAGAGTGACATGGTTGCTGAGCTTGGACAGTATGTTCATGCAATTGGGACGGATTCCAACAATTCAATGGAACCGCGAAGTATTGAAGCAATCTACATTGAACCTACAAAGGGACAACGTACAGGGCACCGAGTGCTCAACCTCAATACTAAGAAGATGATTTCTTGACCCAAGGTCGTCGTACTACCCGTTACCGACCAAGTAATCCAGCGTGTTGAAGCTTGGGCTGCTGCCAAAGGTGTTACTTCCATGAAGTTCTTTGATAAGAAGAGAGATTTGGAGACATTTCAAGATGGCGATCAAATTGAAGGAGTGGATGACACAGAACAAGGTTACTTAGAGGAAGCCTTTGATCAGGACTATGAACCTGAAGAAGAAGATGAACGTGATTTTAACCTACGTGGACAATTCGATGATATTGATGACTCCAAAAGGAAAGAGCTCTTGGCAGATGCAGAGAATGATGTCGATGATATGCCAGAACTCACTGTCAGATTCCAAGGGGTTGATGACTATGAATCAGATGACGCCGATTCGGGTGATGAGGAAGAAGAAGGTGTTGTGGCCAATTTGGATCACCATCAAGAAAATGTCGATAGAGGAACCAATGACATTGGAAGCCTCGTTACTGATCTGGAGGATCTATAAGAACCGCCAGAAGAAGAGATTGTATTTGAGCCTGAAACGCCTCAAGTAGCAAAAATCACTCGATCTGGGAAAACGTATGCGCAAGCTACAATGTCTGGGCTGAACCTTTCTCAAGTTCCAAAGAAACCAAGAGAATGGCCTTCGAGCAGGAGTGGCAGTTCTGCCAATAAGAACAAGAATCGAGTTGCGATAAGATGCAAGCATCGAGAGAGGGAAATGAAACCGTTAAAGGACAAATTGAAGTCTGGTATTCTTACCAAAGAGGGAAGTCGCAGTACTAAAGACAGTAAAGCTATACTTGAAGCACAGCACAATCTATGTTTCCAACAGATTGGGAATGAGATGAAAGCTGATTATGAAGAGCACGCTATTCTGATCGCTCGTTGTATGATGCAGATCAAGGCCAAGTTTGATACTGATGAAGGTCTGAACTTCATCCAACAGTATTACATCAATCAAGGACTGAAGAAGTTCAGTGACAATGGAAAAGATGCTGTGGATAAGGAATTGAGACAAATGCTCCTGAGAGATTGTTTTACTCCCAAATTTGTGAAAGACATGACCGCGTCTGAGCGAAGGAAGGCCCAATCAGCGATGATGTTACTCGCGGAAAAGCAATTCGAAAAGACAATTAAAGGTCGCCTGGTATTCCGAGGCGATGGAACTCGTGAATGGTTATCGCGAGAGGACACTGCAAGTCCAACT